AAAACGGGGGGAAATGGGGAAAAACGGGGTTTTCCTTGGAAAAACGGGGAGCCTCGGGATGGGGGGCGGGGCAGCAGGGGACAGAAACGCCCCCCCCGGGGGACACGAGGGGACGCGATTTGGGGCGGGGGTCTCACCGCGGTGGGCGGGGACCCCGTAGTCGAGGCCGTTGTCGTCCTGGATGAAGCCCCTCCCGTCGGGACAGAGCGCCACGAACTCGGCTGGGGGCGGCAAAAAACCGTCAAGGGGAGGGGTCCTGAACCTCCAGACCACCCTCGGGACCCCCAAACCATCCCCCGGGGAATCTCCTGGTGTTCCCAAATTGCTCCCGGTGTCCCCAAAGTGCTCCCGGTGTCCCCACTTTCACCAGGGGAGTGCCACGAGTTTGGCTGGGGGTGGAAAAAAAGCTCAAGTGGGGGGGTTCTGAGCCCCCAGACCACCCTCGGGACCCCCAAATCATCCCTCGGGGACCCTGTGGTGTCCCTAAACTCCTCCTGGTGTCCCCAAACTGCCCCCGGTGTCCCCAAATCGCTCCCGGTGTCCCCACTTTTACCAGGAGAGTGACACAAACTCTGCAAAAAAACCTCAAGGGCGGGGGTCCTGAACCCCCAGCCCACCCTCGGGACCCCCAAACCACCCCGAACCCCAAAGAACCCCCCAAAACCCCCCAGGGACGCCCCTCCTGCGCTCTCCCTCGCACAATGGGGAGGGGTCTCCACAGCCCTGGCTCCAGCGCGCACTCGTCGATGTCTGGGGGGTGGGAGGGCTTTAGTACCCCCAAAGACCCCCCAAAGACCCCCTAAAGACCCCCCAAAGACCCCCCAAAACCCCCCGGGCTCCCCCTCGCAGGATGGGTGAGGAGGGGTCTCCACAGCCCTGGCTCCGGCGAGCACTTGGCGATGTCTGGGGGGTGGGGGGGCTTGAGTACCCCAAAGACCCCCCAAAGACCCCCTAAAGAACTCCCAAAGACCCCCCAAAGACCCCCCAGGGACGCCCCCGCCGGGCTCTGCCTCGCACGATGGGGAGGGGTCTCCACAGCCCCGGGTCTGGGGCACGCTCGTCGATGTCTGGGTTTGGGGGATCCCAGGTGGATTTTGGGGGGGGTCGCAGTGGTTTGGGGGGGGTCCCGGGGGTGCTGACCGAGGCAGGCGCCGTTGAGGCCGCGGAAGCCGGGGGGGCAGGGGGTGCACACGAAGCCCCCCGGGTGGTTCTCGCACTTGGAGTCGGGGCACGTCCCCGCGTCCAGGCACTCGTTGATGTCTGGGGGGTGGCAGGGGGACATTGGGGACATCGGGGACTTCAGGATGTTGGGGACATCAGGGACATCGGGGACACTGGGGACATCGAGGACATTGTGGGCATTGGGGACATCAGGGACATCGGGGACAGTGGGGACACTGGGGATATTGGGGACATCGGGGATATTGGGGACATTGGGGACATCGGGGATATTGGGGCTGAAGGACACTGGGGACATCGGGGACATCG